CCACTATGGAAAACAGTGTGGAGATTTCTTAAAAAGCTGGAAATAGAACTGCCATATGACCCAGCAATCCCACTTCTGGGCATACACACCAAGGAAACCAGATCTGAAAGAGACACGTGCACCCATCATGCTTTTAGAACTAACTTGCAGTTATAGGAAATACAGGGGATAGAGACACAAAACAAATGACCCCAAGAGAAGATGATCAAGCAAATCCAGATAATAAGATATTACATAAGATAGCTGTCCTGGTCTATTTCTAAAATCTTTATTTTTTAAGTGAGGTACTGTTGGACTTTTGCAAATTAAAGAAATTTAAAGAAACACTATAACTAAATGCAATACATAAAACTTGATTGGATTCTAGTACTGAAACATAGCTATAAATGACGTCTAAGACTTAAGAAATTATTCTAAGGTATAGTAATGGTGATAGGGTTATTTAAAAGAATATCTCAATTTTCAGGAGGTATATCAGAAGCACATAGAAAGAAATATCATGATGTGTGCAACTTATTTTTGAATTTCCCAGTATATACATATGCATGTATGTGTGCATATAAATGTGTGTGTTTGGAAATTTATAGATAAAACAAGTAGCCACTGTTGAGACCTGGTGATCTCTGTGAAGTTCTTCCAACCTTTCTGTATGTTTGAAAATGCTCATAATAAAAAGATGAGGGAAAATTTTTCCTCAAACCTGACAAGTCAGCCTGCTTCAAGGGGCAATTCTATTTCTAAAATAATACCACCAGCTTGCAGAGTCCTTACGATACCACAGAGTAGCGGGCACAGTGGAAGAAAAGCTTTTCTCTATAATGGCAAGAAAGTATTTGCACCATGAATTTAGAAAATGCAATCTGAACAAGACTTAGCGACTGAACAACAACAAATCTAAGTGTACCCGAGTTTCAAGTTTATAAATTCTAGATTAAGATGCCCTAGGCCTGTTCTTCATTCTATAGATATGGTATCCTCCACCCACCAGAGGACCTCACCTGTAAGGTGTACATATATACGCAGAACAAAGTGGGTAAGAGAGTGCCCATATAATTAAATCAAAGGTGTATCCCTTAGTGCCAAAAGTGTAATGCATGGCTATGGGTGAATGGCTATGTGAGATAATGGGCTCTGCTCTCATTTATAAAGCAGAGATGGTATGATAGATTAAATTAGTCACAAACACCTTTTCCTTCCACTGGCATGTGATTTGCCCTGTTTCTTAGAAGGCACAGACTGCTTCCCCACCCCACTGTCAAACTTGGTCATGATTTCCTTTGGCAGATGCATGAACCTGAGGCAAACATCCAAGTAGCAACTTCAAAAGTGAATGAAAGTTTGCCGCTTGCAACAACATGGGTGGGCCTGGATAGTATTAAGTTCAGTGAAATAAGTCAGACAGAAAGATAAATACTATATGTTTTCACTTCTATGTGGAAGCTAAAGAAAAAAACAAATAAATATAACAAAATAGAAACAGACTCACAGATACAGAGAGCACTTAGTAATAACTAGTGGGGGAGGGGCTGAAGGAGTGGCAAGGCAGAAGAAGGGATTAGGAGGCACAAACTACTAGATATAAAATAAATAAGTTACAGGGATGTAATGTACAGCAAAGGGGATATGATCTATAAAAATATTGAATCACTATGCTGTATACCTGAACATGATATAATATTGTAAATCAATTATACTTCATTTTTTAAAAAAGTGATGACAAAGTTCAGCCCGCTCTTGCATTTTTCTTGCATTGAGAACACATCCAGAATAAAGACTGCTCCTTCAGCCAGGGTCCCAGGTAATATGAACAGATCCACAGTTCACTTTCAGCTGGGCACAGAGCTGTCGTCAACTTCTGGCCCTCACAAAATGTGAATGAAAAAGATGTTTTACTTTGTAGTTGCTGTTATTTGGAGAGAGTTGTTACTCCAGCCATCACTGACCATCCCTGAAGATATGAGCAGTATGGACCTTGCAAGGTTGATATTCAGATCTAATGACATAATGCCTGAAAGGCGGGTAGCATAGCACCTGACATACAGTCACTGCTCAGAAACTGTAAGCTGGCATGACAGATCTGTTTCTCCAGGTTCATCCACACCTATGTCAAGCACACTGACCTGCCCTGTTGCAGATGTTCAGCTTGAGCCCCTAACACACTGATACCAATTTACCATAGACCAGTCCCCGCACTCAACACTCCGTGTAATCGCTTCTTTCTGCCACTGTCGCTGGTCTCTATTGCTGTCTGCTTCCGGGTTGTCTGTGTCTTATGCCGCTGAGCCCGTCTGCAGAGTGGCCGCTCTCCTCTGCAGAGCACACGGGTGAAGGCACTCACGCACTCATGACCTCTGCCTGCTTGGTGTCCAGTTTCTCAGCTGCCTCCACCTGGCACCGCATTACTGCCTCGCTCCAGACTTCCAGGTCTCATGACTCTCCATCAGAAGAAATGCTGGCTCTTTCAGGCTGTGCTATTATGTGTGTGTGTGCTGAGGCAGGGTTGGGGCAGGGTGGGTCATGGAAACTTCTTGCAAAGGTACTAGGGTTCCTAGCAATTTTGTGTTTTTAGTTTTATTATGGCCAGGGTCCAGGGGTGCCCCCAGGTGACTTGGGTCACCTGAGTTTTAGTAGAGCTTTCATTGTTCCAGAAGTATGGTCCTTACCAAACAATCTCATTGTGACTAAGCTAAGCTGAACAACCTCTACCAGACTTCCTCACTCGGTGTGTTTCTCTTAAAGCTCTGCTCTCCTTCTCTACAATCTTGTATCTGCTGGAATCAGCTCTCCTCAAGTTTCCCAAGTATGTTTGCGTAAGTCTGAGCCCCAGTGATGGAAAGGATTTTTATGTTCTCCCCACAGGCTCATGTAAATTAGTGGATGGTCAGAGTCTGCCCAGATGATGTGTGCAACGGAGTGCTGGCTTCAAAGTCACCAGTGTCACACACAAGTCTCACCTCACTCCAGACATGACCCCTATTAACCAAGCATGGTTTCCATATTCTAGCTGATAAATTAATTTTCACAATAAATTGCTTGAAATATTAGAGCATTCAACTGAATTAAGACAATGCTATTGAAGGAAACATCCCCAGACCAGGGACCCCTGAGTTGCACACCTGATTCCCACTCTAGGAGTGTCCACCCCTGGTTCTGTGGCTAGCTGGCAAAAACGCCCCTGAACGAGCATCTTCACACTCATTTGAACCATGAGTGAGGCCAGGGGTCAGCACACCGCGAGCTGCGGTCCCAGCCTGGCCTGCCATTTGTTTTTGTCAGTCAAGTTTCATGGAGTCAAGCCATGCTCACTGTGCAAGTACTGCCCAGAGCTGCTTACTTACTACAATAGCAAAGCTGAGTATTGGTGACAAAGACAGAGTGGCCTACAAAGCCTAACATATTTGCCTACTGGCCATTTAAAGAAATACTTAGGTTGCCCTGGGGTGAGATGATCAGTAAGGTCTCCTCTAGCTGGGAGAGTCTCTAATTTGTGTGCTATACCCAGCTCCATTAAGAGTTGCAATATTTAGGGGGAGGTGTCTGGAAAAGAACTCATCCTACCCACGATTCTGAAATGTTGATGCTGCAGCCATTCCACCAAAAATATGGTTCATCAGGCAGGGATAGGCGTTAGAGGGAAGAGTATCTTTCAGAAGCAAGAGAAGCCTGGAATGGTTTGCTATTTTAGCTTTTCAAGGAGACTCTGTATTTGATACTGACAGTGAGTGTGTGTGTGTGTGTGAAAGTTCCATGTATCTACTTCTGTTCACATTAATAGAAGGCACATGGTTCCTTCAAGAGGGAAAATATCTTTCGGAAAGAGCATAATTTGCTCTAGTGGATAACAAATAGTGGGAAGCTTTCTCAGCAAGCAACACAGTATCTGGTTTCAAATTCCTTTTTCAAGCCAAAGAAAATGATGATGATCTCTAAGCTGTCGCTGTTTTTTTGACACAGACCTGAACTCAGCATTCTAAACAGGACTATGCAGAATTGGATTACATTTCATCTCCCTCAACCATCCATCTTCCCTTCCCTGCTCATTTGCTGGGGCTGCAGAAGTATTGAGTGCTCCAGGACAGACTTGGTTTTCCAAACCATGCAAGTCATTATGAATGGCCTTGTGTCCAGGTAAAGGTTAAGGAGGTCTTTTGTTGTTCTAGTTTAACTTGTCCCTGCCACTGCAGCCTAATCATTCCACATAATAATAGGCCTGATACACAGGCCCGAGTCAAAGTCACAAGTCAATAAATCCATTCCTTCCTTCCTTTCAGGCAAAGTGTTGAATAGTACTGAGTGCACAGTGTCACCAGACCCTGTAGTCCATCACATCAAGGTCGTCTGGTATACAGCACATAAAAAAAAAAAAAACAACTTTCCTTCTTTTCAGTGCCTTGCACATCCAAGAGAAGCATTGCTGTCCCACACACAAGGGTGGATGAGAGAGGGGTTGAAAGGCAAAGATTGATCACCCTGGTTCACAGAATCCTGAAGCCACTGAAATGGAGAGCCAGGACATCAGCTACCTCTGCTGTCCTCCTCATTTTATGAATACAGAAACTGATGTCAGAGAGCGGGAGCATCTGTCCATGATCACGTGGCCAGCACTTTTCAGAGCAAGGAGACTGGAACACACGTTTCCTGACTCCAAGTCCGGGGCCTGGTGTCCACTTTGAAAGGGGGAGATGGGGGATGCAAAAAGAGAAGAGGACAAGAAATCTCCCTTTCCCTATAAAGAAAACACTAGGCATTCCTGATCCCAAACACACAGAGTCCATTCTCTATACTCAGATAACACCCCATCTGTAGATAAACTGTGTGGAGTCACACTCTGTTTCTAGAGGAAAATTATCCAAACATCTAAAAGCCTCAGTTTCCTCATCTGAAAAATGGAGATAAGGGCATCAATATCAAAGGGCTGTTCTGAGGCTTAAAAGCATTAGACAATATCTGACTCATGATGTGAACGTGAAAGTCACTCAGTTGCGCCCAGCTCTTTGTGACCTCATGGACTTTACAGTCCATGGAATTCTCTAGGCCAGAATACTGGAGTGGGTAGCCTTTCCCTTCTCCAGGGGATCTTCCCAACCCATGGATCGAACCCAGGTCTCCCACATGGCAGGCGGATTCTTTACCAGCTGAGCCACGTGGGAAGCCACATGGGAAGACTCATGATGACGGCTCAGTAAATGCCAGCTCTTATGGTCATCATCACCATCACCAGCACAATGGCAGCAGCTGTGTGTTAGCCCGCAGATGGCTGCCTAGTCAGCCTCTCTTTCCGCACTGGGCAAGTAAGCTCTCAGCTGCTCCAGTGACACAAAGTACTACAGCTCACCAAATTATCTTTTCACCTCTGATGTGAAAATAAAACCTGCTGATAGAGATTCGTTGGAAGTATGCAAACCTGAGTTACAGTTTGTTTACTTTGCTAAGGGACTTTCAGCTCTTCCAGGTTCATAAATTCCTTGTGGTAGATGGAAGAAGGATTGTAAATTAACTTGAATAATAGGACCACGTTTGTGTACCTTCCAAAGGTTTAAATTGCCTTGAAAGAAAAAAATGTTACCCTTCTCATCTGCTGTCTCATGTTTTTCCCTTAATTAGCAGTTGGATTAGATACCCTCGGAGGTGAGGAACCAAGGAGAGATCTGAACCAAATGTCAAGAATTTCTCCTCAGGGACCTGGAGAGCATCTTTCCACCATATCTATGAAATGAACATAATAACGTGGACTTGATGCCCAGATCATGCCAAATACCTGTCTCTTTCTGGCAAAGCCTGGGGTTCTCTGACATAATCACCATCTAGTATTGCAAAGACTGTGGCAAAAGGAGACATACTTCATGTGTAGGGAAATGGGCTTTCCCTGAAGAATTAAGCAGGTGTCTGAAATCTGTATAGCACAGTGCCCTGCACACAGTTAGGCCTTCTTTATAAACCTCTCATTTCTCTATAAACCTCTTCTCATTCATTCTTCACAATTCTGAAAGCCCCCATCTTAGAGAAGAAGGCTGTCAATCAAGGCCCAGGACAACCGCTGGGAGTCAGCTCCTTAGGAAAGAGTCCAAAGGTCTGGCTTCCATGCACTGACCTTGAGCCAGTTTGAACTGAAGAAGAGATTTATTCTCATGACATTCTGAGATACTGTAAGGATGAAAGGAACAATGTCCATAAATACTGTCTACTGTCATCTAGCAAAACTCACTTTGTCTAGGCTAGAAATGATGGCATAAGAGTCATCATCAGTACCACTTTTGAACAATAATATGCTGGCTTGATACTTATTAAGGGTTCTTGAGTCCCACCTTCTATGTCCACTGCTTTTTATTCTCCTTCCCTTTTTATAATGTTTAAAGTTATCCTAAACTCAAAAACATACAGGAAAATAAAAATGACTAGCATTTATGGATACCTTTAACCACCTTAAAGAATAAATTCCTGCTACTGTAAGAATTTAAAAGAAAATTCAGATTCTCGTCAAATGGTCTTTCACACAAATCAAAGAAATAGTTTAATAATATACTGTATTTTTCAACCAGTGGACTTAATCCATATACTGGTATCTGATATTTCCTCTAAATAAATTGGTCAGGATGAAAAACTTAGCATATTAGCAAGTATGACACGCAAACACCCTCTAAAAGTATATTAGTTATCCTGGAATCTGAAAGTTCAAATGGACCTCACCAGAAGTCTTGTTTCCTAGCTATCTTAGAAAGAGTAGCCAAGAAGAGCTATCCAGGCACTTAATAAACCTTTGTTGAATGAAGACAAAACGATGTAGGAAATGACAAAACTGGATGTCAGCTCTGATCTATTAGCCCCCACACCTGAGGTTCTTTCCTGCATGGTTTCTGCTCTTTGGAAAGTTTTCTGCAGCCGTATGTGGAAAATGTTAGCAAAAAATCTTAGAGAAGACATGCTGAACGTGTTCAAAGAAGAGTACCCAAGGTGGGCACTGTAGTCAAGGAATGTTTCATAGGCAACTCAAGCTAGTCCTTGAAAGGCGTGGAATTAGTATAGGCAGACGTGTGAGGAAAGGCATTCCCCCAGAGGGAGGTAGGAAAACATAAGGCAATATGAGGAAAGACTGTGTAGAGCTTTCGACCAAGCTTTCAACCTTTCCTAGACCAAGGAAAAGAGAAACCCCTGGATTCCATTATCTTCTGGTTCTGTCCTACAACTAAGGAGCATCACCCTAGGGATTATATAGACTCACCAGGGACATTTTCAACCATCTGTTTCATTAGAAAGGAAGTCTGGTCCATGATACAGAATTAGACAGCCCTGGATTTGAACTCTAGCTTCAAATGCTGAATAGCTCAGTGGCACCAGGCAATCCTATCAGTCTCAGATATGGACATCGATGAAATAGGAATACATTATCTCTTACAAGGCAGTTGAGTAAATTCAAAATAATATAACATTTCGGACCCACAGGAGGTGTTCAATGAATGTTAGCTGTCAATTTCAGTCTTACCAGGCAACCGCTCCCAGATTCTCTGAGAATTATTAGAGAATCCACAGCACAATCATATCCTTTTTATGAATCTATACCCCCTTTCACATCTCTGTGAACTCTGTCCTAGCAATACTGTTCATAGTTAAGTGTTGTACTGTCCCCAACAACTTCTGGTCATCACCACACCAGACACTTCTCTGATGGAAGGGTAGATTCCTAATAAACCATGTCTGGTGCCTGGAATAAAGGGGGAAGGTTAATCCCTGCACCCCACACTAGCACCCCACTCCCAAACTGATGCTCAGAATAGGAAGCAAAATCAATACACAGTCCCTCTCTGTCACTGTTACACGAGGTGGCTCTGTGTGCATGTATTTTGCACCACTCGCCAGAACACAAAATGGAGTGGTGTAGTTAATTGAAAAACAGCTCTGCCCTGCCTGCCATAATTGACATTAAGTACTGTTTGGGGTAGGAAATCAGCCATTTCCAATTGATATTAAACGGGAAATCATTTAACATCAATGGATATAAACCAGGCACAATTGTGCTGAATTAGGGAGAAACACTTTGGCTCGTGTTAAAAAATGTTTCTGTGAAGTGGGATTTTTCAGAATAAGTGAATATTAAGTCAGCTTAATACCTGTATTAGGAAAAAAGAAGAAACCACTTCTTGTACCGCCCTCAGGCTTGGAACAAAGGTGCCAAATGCTCTTTTGGAAAAAGAGATGTTCTATGGTGGTCTTGTCTTTGAAAAACAAAGTAGAAAGAAGGTATAATCTGGGAGAGCAGATGAAAGGAGAAAGTTCCTTAAGAGTTTACTCAACAGTGTCTGGCTGCTGGGAGAGAAGCTGGAGCCCTGTGAAGGCAAATGGGGAATCTCTGGCCTCCCTATGAGAAGGTGCTATGGGGCCCATGCCCCTGATATGAGGAAAATAAATAAGGGCATAGATGTGAAAGGGAAAGAATGCCATCATGTGCTCCTTCTCTTCCAAATTCCCTTTTCTATCATGAACAGGCAAGTTTTGGCAGTCAGCCTGTGGCTTCTCCCAGCCTGTGACATCATAGGGCATGGGCTGTCCTAACCAAAGTAAGCGCAGTCCTTTGTTCATGTAAGAGAAGAAAGAGAAGGGGGAAGTATGTGAAGAATATGACTGGAAAGAGAAGTTGAGGGGCTATGGGTAGAGAAGAGAAAAATGGACTATCTGGGGCAGGGTGGGGAGGCAAGAAAGATCTAAAGACCACAGCGGGAACTTCACAAGGTACTCAGAGAGTCCAATTTCCATCGTAGGTGAGGAAACAGGCCCAAAGAGTTTCTGTGACATGGGCCAGGCCACATGGCTACTCAGTGCCAGAGTCTGGTCTAGAACTCTCCTGATGCAGTGTCCATTTTCAGCATCTCACACCATCTCAAGAAATTACAAGAAAAGAAAGAGAAGAGAGAAGGAGGAAAAACAGTAAGGAAGGAATGGGGAAAAGGTAGTCTTAGAAGCATAAGGCTAGTGGGTCATTCTAGAATTTCTGTTTTAGAAGCAAATTTTATAAACCACATTCATCCTTGAGTTGACAGCACCACGTGTCGTTGGCATTGTCCTAGACACAGGTTTTCAGCCCTGGGAGCTTTCCATCTAGAAGGGAGGTAATTAATGATACAGGCCTCCAAGGTCCTTCACCTCCTTGCCTGAAATTTCCATGGCCAGAATGTCACATCTGTGGCATTTAGGCTGGATCCCAAAGAGAACTCTCAATATATGAATTCTAAGGCAATCTCTGAGATCTTGTCCTTTGAGTGGGCTGTGCATAGAAGTGAAATTTGTTCCCTCTCAGATGAAAAAGCTAAAAGAATGTTTATAAAAAGTATGTATCTTATCAACAAGGACCTACTGTATAGCACAGGGAACTATACTCAATATTTTGTAATAACCTCTAAGGAAAAAGAATCTGAAAAAGAATACATATACATGCACACATATACACACATATATCACTTTCCTGTATACTTGAAAACAATACAACATTGTAAATTAACTATACTTCAATTTCAAAAAAAAAATCATGCATCTTACAAATATCTCCTATAATAGGAGGCAGCCCAGTCAATATGTGATAGTCAAGGCACATGAAACACTCAGAATGGAAGACGGAAAAACATTCTTCATGGCCTGTCCCTCTTGAGACCCAAAGCTAGCTCTTTTCTAGTGCTGTGTCCTTAAAATGAAGCAACAGATACAGGTCAGCTTGCAGAATAACCTCCCATTTTCTTTCCCCTCAAAGGAGATGGACGAATCAATAGGGGACTGCTGCTCAGGCCTCAAGCTGCAATCAGCAATGTCCATGCCAGGTGAGCATGCAGAGGGCTGAGGAAGCTGTTTGGGGTTTTACTATCTCTATTTCCTCTCCTCAGGCCACTGGCCTTTCCAAATTTTTTTCACAACCACGTGCAAAAAGACTTTGACTCCTGGTTCCCTCACCAGATTTTGGCTCACGTGGCATAATCATATGGGTGTGACAAATGGCCAGAATATACTTGGCTACACAATGGGCCCCTGGTTTGGAAGGGAAACACCTAGCAAGCAGGACTATGGCTCTTTCACCTGCTTTGTCAAATTCCCTGTACACATAAGGTCAAGGCTAATTTGTTCTTTCATTCGCTCATGAAGTCTAGCAATAAGCACAGCATTAAGCATGCCATCTGTATGAGACACCACTCTACACCAGAGCATACTGTCTTCAAGGAACTTGCCAACATGGAGAATTCACTGAGTCTTACTGCATCCCCAGTCATGACACCTACAAAAAGTGCCCTATTGACAAAGCCACCTCATTTTTAGCTCCAAATTTATTTCAGTTCCTAAAATGCTAATGATCTCTTCTGCCACAGCCTTTACATACGCCATTCTGGCTTTCCGGAATGCTTTTTTCCCTGTTGCCTTCCTCCCTCACCTAGCTAACTCCTACCCAGCTCTTGAATCTTAAATCAAACATTTCCTCAAAAGAAACGTCTCTTTACATCCAGCCTGGGTCAGCTTTCCTTATTTTACATCTCCCCTTTCCTTTTCAGTTTGTAATTATACATTCATTCATGTGATACTTAAAGTCTGTCTGTAGTCCCCCACTAGACAGTGAGCTTGAAAGGACAGGAATAATGGTTGGTTTTAGTCAGCGTTGACTCTCCATGCCAGCACAGAACCTGGAGCACCCTGGGCCCTCTGTAAGCACTGGATGACCCTTGTTGAATGAACCAGGAGGTGGACAGCAATAAAAGACTTTTATCAGTAAAACCTACAATCTAGTTCTTCATGTTAGCTTTCTAGGTCGAAACTACTTACATAGCTGCATTGAAAACCCCATCATCACTCGAATGCCCATGTGCATTCTAGAGAGTCAGTGTGGAGGTTTACGAGAGTGGACTCCAAAGTTAGATCTGGCTTTGTTCAAACCCTATCTCTACCAGTTGCACAACGCTGGACAAGGATGTAACCTCTGTGGTAGGCTAGAAAATGGCTCCTTGGACAATATCCATGTCAATCCCCAGAACCTGTGAATGTTATCTCATCTGTAAAAAGGATCTTTCCTGATGTGGTAGAGGTAATGATCTTGAGGTGAGGAGAAAATTTTGTGTTATCCAAGTGGGCCCTAAATGTGATCACACATATATTTATAGGATAGACACGCAGAAGAGATCAGGTGTGTTCAGGATGCATGCGTGCATGCTAAGTCGTTTCAGTTGTGTCTGACTCATTGTGATCCTATAGACAGTAGCCTGCCAGGCACCTCTGTCCGTGGGATTTTCCAGGCAAGAGTACTGGAATGGTATGATCATAAATATAGTAAATCAATGCATATATATTGAATCTAGAAAAATGGTACTGATGAACCTATTTGCAGAGCAGGAATAGAGACCCAGACATAAAGAACAAACTTGTGGACACAGAGAGGGTGGGTCAAATTGAGACAGTAACACCGATATACACACTACCACATGTAGTGTATATAGCTAGTGGGAAGTTGCTGCATAGCACAGGGGGCTCCACTTGGTGCTCTGTGATGACCTAGAGTGATGGGATGGGGGCATGGAAGGGAGGCTCAAGAGGGAGGGTATGTGTGTGTATATATATATATATATATATATAGCTAATTCATGTTGTTGTGGGAAGATCCCCTGGAGAAGGGAAAGTCTACCCACTCCAGTATTCTGGCCTGGATAATTCCATGGACTGCATAGTCCATGGGGTCGCAAAGAGTCGGACAAGACTGAGCAACTTTCACCATGTTGTTGTACAGCAGGAAACTAACACAACATTGTAAAAAAATTATATTCCAATTAAAAAAATTATCAATCTATATAACCCTGAAAAAAAACAGGCACACAAAGGCAAAAACACACACAGACAGAATAGGAGAGGCAATGTGACCACAGAGATAGAGACTGAAATGATGCAGCCACAAATTGAGGAAGCTAACAGCCACCAGAAGATGGAAGAGGTAAAAAATAGATGCTCCCCTAGAGCTGCTAGAGTGAGGACAGACCTGCCAATACTTTGATTTCAGAAGCAGGGCCTCTAAAACTGTAAGAGAATAAGCTTCTGCTCTTTGAAGCCACCCAGGTTGCGGTTATTTGTTACAGCAGCCACAGGAATCTAATACAATGTCCCTAAATCTCAGGTTCCTCATAGGTAAAATGGGGACAATGACACATAACCTATATGTTGTATGTGTGTAAGGTATGACACATACCCCATAGGGTTGAAGACCTAAACAAATCAAAAAGATACCGAAGGAATGACCTCCACCCCCAATGGTCATGTCTAGTCAAGATGAAAACATTCAAATTAAAGGGGAACTTTCTATCAAGTATTTGGTAGTTTGGTCATACTTCATTTTTCAGTAACATAAAATAAGACATGTTCCAGGCATATGATGACTCTTTTTCCACTTGTGACTCAGATAGCCCACTGTCAATTACATTCTTCCATAATAGTGTCAAGAAAGCCAGAGACATGACTGAGCAGTTGAAGGAAAAGACCAGGGTCTCCCTCTTAGTATCCCCAGAACCCAGCCCAGTTTCTGCCTTTTAAGAGATGCTCAGTGAATGGTTGGTGAGTAAATGAGTTCTGGGTCATTATAGGTTAGACAAGCTCACTCGCCATGCAGAATAAATAAGGGCAAGTGTTGCAGAATTAAGAAATGATGAACACATACTACTTATCCACATGAACAGTGAGTTTTATCCTGGAATCATCAAACTAAGATGACGATGATGTCTGTCTCGACTCTTCTTTCCCAGTGCGATGGGGATCCCTGTCAGCATCAAGCTGCCCCTAATGTGATCAAGTAAGGTTCTATTTCCTTATATATATATATACCTGTCTTTCCAACTGTTTTTAAATTTAGCAAGAGATATTCCTTAATGATTCAGGGATGATTCTGCATCAAACACACTCAAATGTTAATAAGTTTTGTTTATATTTTTGCTTTTAGCTTGGAATGAGGACATAATGTGAGTTGATCTGCTAAAATCAAAGAGGTTAATTTCATTCTGAGACTGATGTTCATTCAAGAGATTAACATAAAACTTAGTTCCATGACTAACTTAGTTTCATAAAACTTAGTCATGACTCATGTCCATTTTCACAATTTCTCCTAACATGGAGAAATTATCCATCTCTATGCAATAAGTGAGCTATTTTAAGAGTTGTGTGCATGTGAAGGTAGGTTACTTTCTTTTGATACTATTCTCAGTTGGTTTAAATTTCTTTAAGTAAAAACCTTAGAAATTATAACTACTAATGTAATAGTAACAATTAATATACTTTAAACCAAATAGGAAAAGGAGTACGTCAAGGCTGTATATTGTCACCCTGCTTATTTAACTTATATGCAGACTACATCATGAGAAACACTGGGCTGGAAGAATCACAAGCTGGAATCAAGATTGCCGGGAGAAATATCAATAACCTCAGATATGCAGATGACACCATCCTTATGGCAGAGAGTGAAGAGGAGCTGAAAAGCCTCTTGATGAAAGTGAAAGAGGAGAGTGAAAAAGTTGGCTTAAAGCTTAACATTCAGAAAACTAAGATCATGGCATCTGGTCCCATCACCTCATGGAAAATAGATGGGGAGACAGTAGAAACAGTGTCAGACTTTATTTTTGGGCGCTCTAAAATCACTGCGGATAGTGACAGCAGCCATGAAATTAAAAGACGCTTACTCCTTGGAAGGAAAGTTATGACCAACCTAGATAGCATATTAAAAAGCAGAGACATTACTTTGCCAACAAAGGTCCGTCTGGTCAAGGCTATGGTTTTTCCAGTGGTCATGTATGGATGTGAGAGTTGTACTATGAAGAAAGCTGAGCACCGAAGAATTGATGCTTTTAAACTGTGGTGTTGGAGAAGACTCTTGAGAGTCCCTTGGACTGCAAAGAGATCCAACCAGTCCATCCTAAAGGAGATCAGTCCTGCGTGTTCATTGGAAGGACTGATGCTGAAGCTGAAACTCCAATACTTTGGCCACCTCATGCGAAGAGTTGACTCATTGGAAAAGACCCTGATGCTGGGAGGGATTGGGGGCAGGAGGAGAAGGGAATGACAGAGGATGAGATGGCTGGATATGGCTGGATGGCATCACTGACTCGGTGGGCATGAGTTTGAGTAAACTCCGGGAGTTGATGATGGACAGGGAGGCCTGGTGTGCTGCGATTCATGGGGTCACAAAGAGTCGGACACAACTGAGCGACTGAACTGAACTGAACTGAAACATGTGAGAAATACTATAAACATATAAATATGGATCACTAAGACCATAGCCAACATAACAAGGCCAAAACTTTTGAATGTCTGTTTCCAAGAAGAGAGGTTGTTTTCTTGCTTTTTAATTTTAGGGTGAATAATAGATACTGGCTGATTTGAAGCTGGATCAGCATGCATAAGCCCAGACAGGGAGATGGGGAAGCTTTAATTTAAGATCCTGGAAATTGTCAAGTTATATTTTGGGGGTTGCTGTCTTAAAAATCCAGAATCACATGGTTCTTAAAATTTTTTTTCATTAAAAGATAAATGGGAAATGTAGAGGAACCCACAAAATGCATTAGTTGGATATAATGCTCATTATATTTAGATTTACTCCAGGGAGCCCTAACTCTGCAGGGGAGAGTTCAACTCCTTTCAAGATCATATATGCATTTACTCATTCCACATATGTTGACAAAGAATCAGCTATGTGCCAGACATCAGTCTGAGCACAGAGGGCGCCTTAGTGAACAAAACCTGATGCTCACTGAGCTTACATTCTAACAGAGGAGGCGGACCATAAACAAAATTAGGCAATGAATTAATAGGAAACTATCAGAAAAGCGTAAGTGCTGTGATAGGAATAAAATAAGGTGATTGATAAAAAGCGAATGGGGGGATGGTTATTTGCTGGGTGGTCTGGGAAGGCTCCTTTCTGAGGGACTGACAGTTAACCTAACCTCTTACCAACACCACTTTCCTCTGAATATAAGTCAAAATGGACTCAAAATGGAAAAGAAGGAACATGTGGCAGTATCAAAAAAGAGGAAGCTGAGATTCAGCATCTAAGTGAGACATTCCAAAATTTCATTTGAAAAACCACAGTAAAAGGCAAAAAGACTGTGTTGACAATATTCCCACTTAAAAAGCAACAGAAAGCATATCTTTGCCCCTCACATCTGTTGAAGGTTGTAGTCAGAGATTCACCTCTTTCTCATACCTTCATGCCATTCACAGTAGGCCATATTTTATTAAATGCAAGATCCCATCAATTGTGAGGTGCAAACCAGTGCTAGAGATGCTAAAATGTTAGCACATGAATGTCTAAGCCAGAGTAATTCTGGCCTTGTTCTTTGTCTTCAGACTAAGTTTCTATTCATTTCCTACTGAAAAACTCAGTAGCATTTACTCAACTGACCTGGTTTTAACCTCCTACTTCCTGCCATGCCTTTTGAAAATCCTTTAAGACCCGTCTTTTAATGCTCCTGGCCGTAGTTCAGGGGCGAAGAGAATTCTCTCTTCCATACTCACCAAATTGTCTTAGTTCTGAACTTCTCTCCTGAACCATATCTCCAACCCAGTTCCACCATGTTTGTAACTCTCTCCCTAGCATTCTGTTATCATCCTCACAATGCTCTACAGACTTAACAGCCCCAGTTCCCCAACCCTCTTCCACACCCAGTTGTATCTTAATGCTGACCCAGATAAGCAGTCTGCACAGCTGATTTGGCCCAGGACTCTCCTACACCTTTCATGGGTAGCAGAATGGCATCAGGCTTGCTCAGGACATAAGAACATGAGCTATATTCTGCTTAGAACCATCCACCTCCACACTTCTCATTCCCCTATGAATTGAAAACTTCTCCATTGATAAAATATCAAGTTCTCTATCCTAGTGGCAAGGAGAACCCGTAAGTAAAAATCAGCCAAACAATCTCTTAATTTGAGGCAAAAAAGGATAAGAAATGTAAATTTTCATTTAAAGAGTAGAAAATTTATTGTAAGGACTAACAGAAGTGTGACTACTTGGCAATATTAGACTAGATTCTAATGCAGAAACATCTTGGAGTCTTGTTCAGTCCAAAACAGAAAAAGGAATTGAAGTATCCAATAGTTGTTAATAGTTTGTCATTGAATAGACTAATGTACTTTGCTCTCAACCTCCAAAAGAAGAACCAAGATACAGTAGAGATATTCATGAACATCTCTAAATAAAAGTGGATGAAGTAACTAAATCAACCACTAACTGAAGATCAAAAGCAGAGAATGCGCCAAAGTCTTCTTCGTTTGGTCTGAAAGTCAGTGGAGCCTGGTAGGGAAGGTCAGAGACTCAGAAATTTCAGCTGTGGCACTGTATCAGGGTCTGAGGATGCCAAGCTCTGATTGTACCAGGCATGTCTGAATGGATGGTGAAGAGATTGAGTTCACTGGGATTATTCTCCACATGATTTAGAAACAGTCACTCCAGTGATACTGAAAAAGAGTAAATGGACATTCCCCACAAGTGCTCATCTGATGAAGCCAAAGATATCTAGAGAGTCGTATAAACTATCAGTTCTGCTGTGGCATACAATTTTGAATGACTGACTATTGGATATTAAATGAAACTTCATAAATGGGGAATGGACACCTAAAATTCATAATCCATCTATTTTCTTTATTTCTATAAAAGGTACACAGTATATTTAAAACAAAAATTCTGATGATTTCTTTTTTATTTCAGGTTAAAGAAAGAAGCAGAGGAGATTCTCATTAAATAGGAATAACAGTGATGGTACTGTGGTTGTGATTAGCTCTGCTCAGGGTTGGAGTTAATATTGCTTCTCCCCTGCAGTATTTTTTAATTACACTTCTGATTTTCTATTTGGAGACATCATAGACCTGTGCTGGTGAATTGTCACACAACCACAAGTCAAATATGTGTTAAATATGAGAAAATGCTGCCATTTTTATCTGATTTGTGGTTCATTCAAGTACTGTTATCTACTTTTAATTAAATAATATAAAATACACATGGTCAGCAGTTTGACTTTTCATTTCCTTACAAAGTCAGTAATTCAACTTGATTGCTCCCACCCACCCTAGAATTATACAGTAAGGATGTAACCCTTGCTGGGTATTGATCCATTATCTGAACAATGCATAAGCCTTTACTAGAAAAGAGCCACTGCCCAACCATACTGTGATAAATACACACACACACACACACACTCACACAAATATGCTGAAGAATATGGTCCCTCAAAAACACAGCACAGGGGGCTTCCCTGGTGATCAGTTGGTTATGAATCTACCTTCCAGCAGGGGACACCAGTTCAATCCCTGGTTGGAAAGATCCCACATGTCTTGGAGCAATTAAGCCAATGCACCACAATTATTGAAGCCCGTGCTCCCCAGAGCCAGTGCTCCACAACAAGAGAGGCCACCGCAATGAGGAGCCCGAGCACCACAAGAGCAACATCCACTTGCTGCAACTAGAGAAAGTTGACAAACAGCAACAAAGACCCAGGGGAGCCAAAAATAACTAACTAAATTCATTAATAAATTAAAAAAAAAAAAACATGGTGTGATTTTTGGAAAGGGAAGAGCAGGCTTCATTGTCTGATTTCTTCTGTTTCATCCCTTTCCCCAATGTCATATCCCTTATTGATTTATAGTCCACAGGGTTCCTTAAAGTTCCAGTGTGACTCTCATGGAATTGCCTAAGGCACTGGAAGAAAGAACTTGACTTGCAGATCTTAGACAGTTTCCTACTTCGTTAAGGCTGCTCTTCCATTGGACAGTTTGTGTACTGTTGGGCCTTAGAAGCCACTTGCTTCTTCCTCAGTCTCCTCCCCTGACTTTCCTTACTTGCTTGCAAAACCAAAGATAGACTGAAGACAGGGAAATGAAGAAAGAAAAAACAAAATACTTCCAAAACCTTATTATTATTCCTGTATTATCATCATCAAATTGAGCAAATTTATTCTAATGACCTATTTCACAGGGCACTGTTCTCTATGCATTTTTTTTCAATTTAGAACTAAATTAGGTGGGAACTCTACAGAGAAAGTCTTAGATACTGCATAGGTATAGAGTCTTTACTGAAGAAATACACTCTCAACCTTGCTTCTGAGAAAACAGGCGCTGTCCACAGGAATTTATTTTCCTAGGGTATTATTGAAATTCTCTCAGAGACAGAGGTTTTCAGGATGAGTCAGCTCTATTAGAAACCTAAAGGAAAATAAAAGAGATTAGTTCAGTGATAATAACCGGGAGGTAACCCGAAAAGGAAAACCCTCTTGTAAATAAACTTGATTTATTTACAGTTAAGTGTGTGATTGCGAAAAAAATATTTTCAGCCAAACCACAGAACTTCTGCTTAATAATAAGAATACTTAGCACTTATACAAGCACTTTACATCTGCAAAGTGCTTTATAAACATTAACTAATTAATCGATAACAACACCCCAGTGAGGTAGGTAAGTATTATTCAAGTATTCTCTTGAATGTTCAAGCCAGGATTATGGAGAACCCAGAGTGGCTTGTTTTATATGAGAGAGAGACGGAGGGAGAGGGAGTGTGTGTGTGTCCTGCTCCTCTCTTACTAAATACAGGACTTTGGAGTGTCTTATAAATGGAAAGACAGCTCGTCTGGAGAATGTTTGAAGACTTTCCAAAACCAAGGCTTTGGAGTTTCCCTAGGAGAACCAAAACAAACTCTGAGGTGGTTTCTCCAAATCTTGCAAGGGTTTGAAGTAATTGGTAAGGAGTGGTTTCACACACGGGAAGCCAACCATGCCTTCTCTTCCCACATTCTTTACTTCTTGGCTTTCTGGTTCTCACTCCTGTTTGATAATAAAGACTGAAATCTCACTTTTTGAAGGATTTGGCTCATGGGTCAGGGGAGGACTTTGGGAGAGAAGGCACATAAAACATGGTCCAGCACAGGGAAGTCTGGCACTCCCAGGGACAGATGAGATGTGGGCTTGAAGGGAAGCGGGTCCGGCCCCTTGTGGTACACACCAGGAGAGTGAGGCAGTGTGCTATAAACAGCCACCAGTGGCCAAAGGCGGCCGTGTGGAGTAGTGGCACTGAGTTGTCCCTAAAGAAGTGTCAGGGTGGACATTCAAAATGTCCGTGACAAGCAATATTCCCACAATCCTTTGGCTGAAGGCATTGTGACCCTAGCAAATAAAGGCCATTGTTGAAGTCTCTTTCTTGGGTCAGATAACATGCTGCCAAAATGACCTTGGGTTTCTTCTTCGATTTCTTTGTTTATTCATTAATAATAGCTGTATATCCTGAGAATCTCCTCTGTGAAGGGCACTATGTTGAAATTCTTTCATTTTATTTGGTCACTTAATCTTCACCACAATCCCCTCAGGGATGTTCTACTATTAGCCTCATTTAAAGATCAGTAAAATGAGGCTTTAAAAGGTTAAGTTACTTGGTTAAGTCACACCGCTAGTAAGAGTTGGGGTTAAAACCCAGGACTCTTAGATTCCTGACCCCACTCTCTAAACCATACTTCATATTTTCTTCCATTCATTTGTTTACTATCTGAGGATATGCCTGGTCTAGAATTAGGTTCTAGGGTATAGGTGATGAGCAGACAGACAGGATTTTTACCATGGTGGAGAGACAGACATTTAAAAAAAATAATCACAAATAAATATGTCATTTCAAAGTGTAATCAGCATTGTGAAGGAAAAAATCAGAGAAGTGTGAGAGATACAGGAAATACAATTTAGATCAGAGAATCCGAGAAGTTCTCTGCAAGTAAATGACATTTTAAACTTGGATCTGAAAAATGACAGGAGTTAGCCAGGCAAAGAAGGAGAAGAGAATTCCAGGCAGAGGACGACAGGAGGGAAGGCCCTGAGGTGGGATGGGGTTCAAGAAACTGACAGCAGACCAGTGCAGGGAACAGACAGTGATCCGGGGTGGGGACAGGAGCGCAAGGCAAGGTCAGAGAGGAGCGCCGGGGCCAGACCATCACGCGGGGCCTTATGAGCCATATGTATCAGTTAACATTAAGTTCAGCTGCATATAACTGAAGCACAAAATAACAGTGGCGCAAAGAAAACAGAAGTGTATTTCTCTCACACTTCAAGGAAATCCACAGATAAGCAGCTCAAGGTATCACAGGTGCATGGCTTTCAAGACTAGGCTTCCTTCTATCTTTCCACTCTGCCATCAAGCATGTGGCTTCTGTCTGTCAGGTCCTCTTCTGCTCCAAGAAGGCTTCTGGAATTCCAGCTATCACATATGTACAGGCAATAGGAAGGAGGAATGGAGGGCAGGCCAAAGGGGTGCCCAAAGTTGGCTTCTTTAAAAGATCCTTCCCAGAGCTCCCAGAAAACATTTCCACTCATATCTTTGGCCAGATATAGATATCTGCTTACAAGGGAGAGAGGGAAATAGAATCAGGTAGATTCTGTTGGTCAGGAAACAGGTGTGGGGACATGGATTTCATTAAGGTTTCTGATATTCCCAGTCACGCCATGATGAGGAGTTTGGATTTTACTGTCAGTATGATGCAAAGCCTATAAAAGGTCTGAAGGAGCAAAGTAACAATACCCAGTTGGTATGCTTAGAAACTTTGGCTGCTTCATGAGAACAGACTATATAGTAGGTAGGCGTGAAAACAAAAACATGATTCAGGCACTATCACGGTGGTCCAGGAAAGTGATGTTGTGGCTTTGGTAAAGGCAGAATCATTAGAAATGGAAAAATTTGATAGAATCAAGATATATGTTGAAGATGAAAAGAACAGAAATGTTGCTATATGTTATATGGGAGCTGTGGGAGTTTTCCAGGATAATGCCTAAATTGGTGAAAGGTACAACCATACAGCTGAAGGTATCACTTACACAGATGGGATTTACTAGAGAAGAGGAATGTTTGGGTGCTAGGGAGGGAGAGATTTCAGTTCTGGACATCTTAAACTGAAAATGCAAGTGAGTTATTCACCTGAAGATGTAAAGTAGATAGCTGTACATACAGGTCTAGGACTCAGAAGATGCAGAAGGTGACCCAAAAAGGAATACCCTCTTGTCAATAAAGTTGATTTATTTACAGCTAAATGTGTGATTTTGGGGGGATGGGGGGGAGAAACACATTGGGAGCTATTAGCGTCTAAATCACCAGAAGTAGTTCTCTATGGGAGAGAATAAAAAGCAAGAAGAAAGGGATATCAGGACCTTGGGGATAACAACAAGGACCAGGTAAGAAGAGAGGATAAGCAAAGGAGGTCCAGAGGAAAGACCAGCAGTGTATACGAGAAACCAGGGAGTAGTAGGAGGTCATGAATAACAATGGAAGAAAGTGTTTCAGAAGAAGGAAGAAGTCAACTCCAACAAATGCTACTAAGAAGAGATCAATAAAGATGAAAACTGAACAGTTAACAACATGCAGGTCATTGGTGACTTCTGCAAGAATATTCAGGAGTGGTAGAGAAAAAAAAACTAAAGAACAACTGTGAGATGAGGAGAAGGAGAAGGAAGCGCTTGTACAAAAACTCTGTGGGAGAAGATGAGGGTGGGAATAGCATTGAAACATGTATATTACTATGTAAACTAGATCACCAGTGCAAGTAGCAGGACATTCAAAGCCAGTACTCTGGGACAACCCAGAAGAATGGGGTGGGGAGGAAGGTTAGTGGGGGTTTCAGGATGAGGGGGACACATGTGTACCCATGGCTGATTCATGTTGATGTATGGCAAAACACACAATGTTTTATACCACAATATTGTAAAGTAATTATCCTCCAATTAAAATAAATTAGTTAATTTTTTAAAAAGTGTTAGAGTAGTAACTAGGGGGAGGTGATGGAGTCAAGGGAGCGATGTTAAGAGTGGGTGTACTAATGATTGTTTGCAAGTCACTGGAAAGAATCCAGGAGGAAGAAATGAAGAAGCAGAAGAAATGAGGCTCACCAATGAAAATTA